AGTAACTTAATTCTGGAAAAATGTTATTCCTGAAATTCCAGCTCAAGAAAATCTCTTAAATAATAAAAAAATTAAATGCAATCCAGGTGTCCTTGGAAAATGTCCAACATAAATGATAAACCAACTGCTTGAATGAATTAGTTATTATCCTTACGCATACTCTCCCCTACACACAACCCTTCCCCAATATTTTATTATTTTTGCACAAAATGTAATTCATTGTAACAATTTTATATAATACACATTTGAAGAAAGGAAAAATAATAATTGGCACAATGTAGCAGATACAAAGCTCTAGACTAAAACAACCCACCAAAATGAGGCATTTAAATAAATGAGACCCAAATGCATTCATCTCAGTGTGAGAGAGGTTATATTTTATTTTCATAAATCTTCTGAAACTGTGGTGCTGGAGGAAAACTGTGAGAGTGCCTTGGACTGCAAGAAGATCAAACCAGTCCATACTCCAGGAAATACTGCCCAAGTGCTCACTGGAGGGAAGGATATTAGAGGCAAAGATGAAGTACTTCGGCCACATAATGAGAAGACAGGAAAGCTTGGAGAAGAGAATGATGCTGGGGAAAATGGAAGGAAAAAGGAAGACCAAGGGCAAGATGGATGGATGGGTTTCCTTGAAGTGACTGGCTTGACTTTGAAGGTGCTGGGGGGTGGCCACAACCGACAGGGAGCTCTGGCGTGGGCTGGTCCATGAGGTCATGAAGAGTCGGAAGCAACTGAATGAACAACAACAGAAATCTTTCTATGGCTGCAATTGGGATTGTGGGGGTGATTGCATTTGTCTTTTGATGTTCACAAGGACATCAATAATTTTACCAATACTATGTTTACTAATGTAACCCCCCCCCCTTTTTTTTGAAATTTGCTGTCTCCTCATGATGTGGCCAAAGTACTTCAACTTTGTCTCTAGTATCCTTCCCTCCAGTGAGCAGCCGGGCTTTATTTCCTGGAGGATGGACTGGTTGGATCTTCTTGCAGTCCAAGGCACTCTCAGAACTTTCCTCCACCACCACAGTTCAAAAGCATCTATCTTCCTTCGCTCAGCCTTCCCTAAGGTCCAGCTCTCACATCCATAGGTTACTACAGGGAATACCATGGCTTTGACTAGGCGGATCTTTGTTGCCAGTCTGATGTCTCTACTCTTTACTATTTTATCGAGACTGGACATTTGATCTAGCTGGTAACATGTAAATCACATTATATGCTTCTTTCACAAGAATATTTGACAGATATTCTAAATTGCTATCCTTAGGATCAATGTACAACACACACACACACATCTATCTATCTATCTATCTATCTATCTATCTATCTATCTATCTATCTATCCATCTATCCATCTATCCATCTAACTATCCACCATACACACAGATACATATTCACACACACCACTCACCTGGAAGGTAAGTTCCAACTAGCTTTATCAGCTTCAAAAAAGTGGTTCATGGTAGGAAAAGTGTAACCCTCTCCCTTCCTTTTCCTGTAAATCTCTTAGGATGTAGCACAAGATAGCCACAGTTAAACCTATTTATTTCAATAGCTTTGACCTAGGACTGCCTACTAACCCTTTCTAGGCCCAGCTGGATGAGTTTTTCTTTACATCCAGACCACCAGTTGCTAGAAGGCACTGGAAAGTCACATTTTCTGTCCACATTTATATTTTGAATAATCTGCACCTACCTGATAAGAAGGGAAAACAGCAACTGCTGTAATGCAACCAGTAGGGCGTGGGAGTAGCCCAGTTAAATTGTACATAAGTTATCCATGTGAAGTGAGGAAAAGGAAGTACAGAACATTTATATATTTAATAATTGTGTGGGAAAACAAATTTCATTGGTAGTAATTGCCATGAAAGTAGTGCTTGTTCAAATTCCTTCTACTGCACATGCCACTCTCCCTTCTTTTCCCAGGGCACATCTACACTGACCAAGTATAGTGGGATGAAAGCAGGAGAGGTGGAAGTGAATCAAATGTGCACCTGATCAGGTGTCAAGTGTAGGAAGCAGACTCAGCCCTGCATGGTGGTCATACACACTGGAGTTTGGCTTCAACTCAGTTCCAGGATCCGCAATATCTGTGGTGCATGATTAAAGCCTTGATTCTAAAAGAAGTCAGAGTGTGAAGTCCAGCAGTCCTTCCTGACCCCTACATTGAAATTCCCTTAATGTGCCAGATCCTGGAAACTAAACAGGGCCAGCACTGGACAGTACTTGGATGGGAGGCCACCAAGGAATGTCAGGTACTGTGTGTTGTATTTCAAAGCACAGAACTGGCAAAATTGAGTCATTCTTCTCTAAGACCCTATCTACACTGACCATTTAATGCAATTCAAACTGCATGGGCCAGTCAACAAATTCTCACAAAAGTGTATGAAAGAATCCCCCTAAGTACACAAATGTTCTGTGGTTTGTGTAATCACCATGCGAACCTCCAGCTGGTTCCAGGATTTCTGGTGTAACGTGTTGTCAAAGGCTTTCGCAGCAGGAATCACTAGGTTGCTTTGAGTTTTCCGGGCTGTATGACCAAGTTCCAGAAGCATTCTCTCCTGACATTTCACCTACATCTATGGCAGGCATCCTTAGAAATTGTGAGGCAGATTGGAAACTAAGCAAAGGGGGTTATATATCTGTAGAAGGTCCAGGGTGGGAAAAAGAACTCTTGTCTGTTGGAGGTAGGTGGAAATGTTGCGATTAATCACCTTGATTATAACTGCAAAACCTTGCAGCTTCAAGGCCTGGCTAATTCCTGCCTGGGGGAATCCTTTGTTGGGAGGTGATTAGATGGCCCTGATTGTTTCCTGTCTGGATTTTCCCAGTTTTCAGAGTGTTGCTCTTTATTTGCTGTCCTAATTTTAGAGTTTTTAAATACTGGTAGACAGATTTTGTTCATTTTCATGGTTTCTTCCTTTCTGTTGAAATTGTCCACATGCTTGTGGATTTCAATGGCTTCTTTGTGTAGCCTGACATGGTAGTTGTTAGAGTGGTCCAGCATTTCTGTGTTCTCAAATAATATGTTAGGAGCCCCCGGTGGTGCAGTGGGTTAAACCCCTGTGCCAGCAGGACTGAAGACCAACAGGTTGCAGGTTCGAATCCGGGGAGAGGTGGATGAGCTCCCTCTATCAACTCCAGCTCCTTATGCGAGGACATGAGAGAAGCCTTCCACAAGGATGATAAAAACATCAAATCATCCGGGCGTCCCCTGGGTAATGTCCTTGCAGACGGCCAGTTCTCTCACACCAGAAGTGACTTGCAGTTTCTCAAGTCGCTCCTGACACAACAAAGGTTGGTTGACACAACATCAGGTGCTCTGCTATGCCTGACTGCTCTGGTTGAAGTAATCTGCAGTAGTTTTCATGTTCCTTGATTTGTGTTAGGGCAATGCTGCATTTGGTGGTCCCTATGTAGACTTGTCCACAGCTGCATGGTATATGGTAGACTCCTGCAGAGATGAGAGGATCCCTCTTGTCCTTTGCTGAATGTAGCATTTGTTGGATTTTCTTGGTGGGTCTGTAGATAGTTTGTAGGCTGTGTTTCCTCATCAGTTTCCCTATGTGGTCAGTGGTTCCTTTGATATATGGCAAGAACACGTTTCCTCTGGGTGGATCTTTGTCTTTACTCACGTGGTTTGTTCTTGGTCTAGCAGCTCTTCTGATGTCTGTGGTGGAGTTATGGGGAAAGATTATTATTAATAATATTTTTTTTGTGTCAGGATGACATGAGAAACCGCAAGTAGCTTCTGTTGTGAGATAATTGGCTGTCTGCAAGGACGTTGCCTAGGGGATGCCTGTATGTTTTGCCATCCTGTGGGAGGCTTCTCTCACACATGAGAAGCTGGAGCTGACAGATGGGAGCTCACCCCATCCCTGGATTCGAACCACTGATCTTTCGGTCAGCAGTCCTGCCGGCAACTCATTGGCCTGTAGAGCCCAGTTTAGGTGGTTCTGTTCACCTTGGAGGTGGGGTTTGCAGATTCTTTTTGCACTGTCTGCCAGGGCTTTAATGGTGCTTCTCGTGTAACCATCTTTACATGAAACCATTTTGATCAATACTGGTTTGAAACTGCACTGAATGGCGAGTGCAAGAAAACCCCATCAAACTCAAGCTTGTTTTCTGCTGCCCTGGAGACTAGGACACAGAACAATGGCTTCAAACTACAAGAAAGGAGATTCCATGTGAACATTAGGAAGAATTTCCTGACTGTGAGAGCTGTTCAGCAGTGGAACTCTGCTCCGGAATGTGGTGGAGGCTCCTTCTTTGGAGGCTTTTAAGCAGGGGCTGAATGGCCATCTGTCAGGGGTGCTTTGAATGCGATTTTCCTGCTTCTTGGCTGAATGGGGTTGGACTACTAGATGGTCCACGAAGTCTCTTCCAACTCTAGGATTCATGCCATGAGTGGGTGGGCAACTTGAAGGCACACACTGCATCTCCTGCAATGGCACTCTGGGATGTATGGAGAGGTTCAAATAGTCCTCTCACTCTTCCACTCCATTTCCTTCCCAAACTGACCCCCGGAATCCAGTGTCTGTTGAATCTCGTCCTCTCTGGATGCCTGGGCTGGCGAGGAGCTAGTCTGGCCTTTCTTTTAACCCACCTAAGGTTCCCTTGCGTCTATTGGGACTCCCCCACCTCCAGCTTCCCGAATCGTGGCTTCGTATCCGGAGCTCCCATTCCACGCGAGTTCTGCGTGGATCCCAATTCTGACCGGGGGGTGGGGGGATTTGGTGGGAATGGCCCTCCGAAGGCACCGATTCCTCGGAGAGGGACACCTCCCTCCTCCTCCTTTCCCCCTCCCTCCTTATTGGGACTCCCCCACTCCCAACTTCGTACCCTGAGGTCCCATTCCACGCGAGTTCTGCGTGGCTCCCAATTGTGGCCGGGGGGCGGCGCCTGGGATTTGGTGGGAATGGCTCTCCAAAGGCACCCCTTCCTCGGCCAAGGACACCTCCTTCCTCCTCCTCTTCCCCTCCCTCCTTCTCTCTGGGCGGCCTGCTCCAGCAACCTTGGCCCGGCCGGGAGGGAAGAAGGGAGGGAGGCTCAGTGGGTGGAGACTCGGGGAAAAGGGAGGAAGGGGGCGGATCGCAGCGGAGGAAGAGGCAGCCAGAAAGAGAGAGAGAGAGAGAGAAGGAGGGAGGCTTGTTTGGTATTGCCCTCTCGCCAAAGGATCCTCGCAGCAGCAACAGCAGCAACAGCAGTAGGAGAAGCTGCTCTTCTGCAGCGGCCTTAAAGGCGACGTCGCCGCCGGTGCATCCTCCAGCCCCGGGTCGAAGGGCTCTCTCTCTCCGCCTGACTCATAATTGCTGCCTCCTCCCTCCCTGCCCGTTTCCTTGGGCTCTTCAGGTGCGGCGCCTCTCCGGAGCCTTGCAGACAACAGGTACGACTTGAAAGCAGCAGCCCGAGCTGGCTTTGCCGGCGAATGAATGGGCGCCGCGAGGACGCGCGTGCAGCCAAGCAGCCTCAGCAGTTCGGCGCTTGCTATGCTTGCAGGCCCGGCTGGGGCGCGAGCCTCGTTCTGGGCGCGCGCGCGCGCTAGWGAGAGAGAGAGATTGGAGCAGGACTCAGGCCTCGCTTGGCTGGGGAAAGAAGGAGGAGGGGAGAGAGGGGATTCGCTCTGAGGTTTTGGGGTAAAGGAGGAGGGGGCCGCTCTATGGGGACAAAGGCGGGAGGGGCCTGGAGGGGGGCTTCAGGCTCCCCCAGCCTCCCTTCCTCTCTCTCTCTCTCTTTCCTACCGCTTCCAAGGGAGGCGTTCTCCTGCCAAGCATGCATCGCTACAAATGTATCTGCCCTCCTCCCTCTCCCCGGCCTTGCTTGCCTCCTTGGGATTCTAGGACGCTGCTATTCCGGCTCCCAAATGTGAAAGCAACGGGAGGGGCACCTTTCAATTCCATCTGCTAGGGAGGCCAGAGGTTTCTTTGGCTCCCTCTCCTCTCTTTTTCTCCTCCCCATCCCATAGAAATGCCTGAGCATTGGTCAAACTTTTGCCTGCCCCAGTGTCTTCTTGGGACCCATGTGCTTGTTGGGGGGCGATGGGGAGAAACGGGAGGGAGAGGCTTTGGGGCTGGATCTACCCTGCCATAAGGTGGACTGCATTGAACTGTATTGTATGGGTCTACACCAGGCATGGGCAAACTTAGGCCCTCCAGGTGTTTTGGGACTTCAATTTCCACAATTCCCGGTCTCAGGCCCTTTTCTTTTCGCTTAAGCGGCTGAGGGGGAAAAGAAAGGGGCCTGAGGCCAGGAATTGTGGAAATTGAAGTCCCAAAACACCTGGAGGGCCTAAGTTTGCCCATGCTTCGTCTATACTGACCATAATACGTTCCCAAACTGCATTATATGGCAGGGTAGATCCAGAGAAATCATGTAGTCTCTGGTGACCTTTGAGGAGTGGAGAAATGAGTTGGTTTTCTTTGCATTTCTGTCTTTTCTTCTCCCCTCTTTTAGTATATTTATTTTTATTGGTAAATAAATATCTGGGCAAAATGGAGTATTGTGTTGTTTTCATCTTCAGGTGCATCTCCGCTGTAGAACGATTGCAGTTTGACACATCTTTCACATCTCAATAGTAATCTATATAAATAAAAATGTAATGTTCGTTTGTGGGATTAACATAACTCAAAAACCACTGGACAAATTGACACCACATTTGGACACAATACACCTGTCAGACCAACAATGACCATCACTCATAAAAATACAAAAATACACAGCTTAAAAGCCAAAAAAAACCAAAAATTGCATTACAACACATGCACAAAACCACATATATACACAAATATACACACACTAAACACATATACACAGACTGGGCCACAGCATGCATGCTCAAGACCACATATATAACAAACACACACATATACACATATACACAAATATATACACACAAAACACATATAGACAGACTGGGCCACAGCATGCATGCTCAAGACCACATATATAACAAACACACACATATACACATATACACAAATATACACACACTAAACACATATACACAGACTGGGCCACAGTATGCATGCTCAAGACCACATATATAACAAACACACATATATACACATATACACAAATATATACACACAAAACACATATAGACAGACTGGACCACAACAACGCGTGACAGAGGATGGCTAGTAATAATAATAAAACTTTATTTCTAGACCTCACCTTTCTCCCGAAAGGGACTCGCGGCAGTTTACAGCACAAAAACAGGCAAACATTCAATGCCTTGCAGTGGTTCTCAACCTGTGGGTCCCCAGATGTTTTGGCTTTCATCTCCCAGAAATCCTAACATCTGGTAAACTGGCTGCGATTTCTGGGAGTTGTAGGCCAAAACACCTGGGGACTCACAGGTTGTAAACCACTGCCTTACAAAGTAACAAACAACATCAGGAATAATACAAAATAATACACAATAATAGCAATGAACTTACAATGAAATAAATTAAATGCCGAGGTGGAAGATATTCCATTTAGAAAATAAACTAGGATGTGTAAACATTAAGCATATATCGTCAAAGACTTCCATGGCCGGAATCACTGGGGAGTTGTAGGTTTATCGGGCTCTGGCCATATTCTAGAAGCATTCACTCCTGACATTTCACCTGCCTCTATGGCAGGCATCCTCAGAGGTTTATATAATTAAAAACAGTTACACGTGACTTGCATATGAAATGGCTAACACAGGTGTTTATTAAAATGTGTCCTAGTCATCATATAGTGCAAATACTATGGAATCATGGGAGCTGTAGTTTGATGAGACACCAACCCTCATTGACAGGCAATGCTAAAGACCTTGTATAACTCCCAACTCCCAGCATCTCATAGCATCCTTCTGGGAGGCTTTCCTTATGTCCCTGCATGGGGAGCTGAAGCTGACAGAGGGAGCTCATCCGTGCTCTCCCTGGATTTGAGCCTCTGACCTGTCAGTCTTCAGTCCTGCTGGCACAAGGATGGTAAAACATCAAACATCTAGGCGTCCCCTGCGGCAACGTCCTTGCAGACACACCAGCAACAACTTGAAGTTTCTCAAGTCACTCCTGACACACACACACAAATCCCATAGCATTGAGCCAGGGCAATTAAAGTGTCAAGGTGCATTAATTTGACAGCGTAGATACATCCTCAGGCCTTTCCTTCCTTTTTGTATTTTTGATATATTCTTTTGTAAATAAATAGGGCCTGGCTTTTCCCCTCATTCAGAATTTCACTTCTTGGAATCCAAGTGTTTGTTGGGGGGTGATGGGGAGAAACAGGAGGGAGGGGCATTAGGGCTTGTTCTACCCTGCCATAATTTGGATTGCACTGACCTGTATTGTATGGGTATACACCAGAATTTAACTTGGAGCTTTCTCAGTCCCAAGATCCCCCTTCTCACTCACCAGCAAGTCAAGTACAAATTGTGTTTGTCCCTTCCAAACCTGGAGAATGTTGTTTTCCCCCAATTGCTCAGATAAGAGATCCCTTCGCTTGCCAGGGCAGATCTTAAAAATATGAAAACAGGGCATCCATAAATATCAATTTGAAATAATACTTGGTGCTTAGATTGCTTTTCATCTTCAAAGTGCTTTCACACTCATTAACTGATCCTCTCAGCATCCATTGGATGGCAGCTTAACCTGGAATGATTTATACTGAATATCAAAGGGAGACGCTTCCTAATGCTGTCTTGTGTTTATGAGTGTTGCTTTATTCTTCAGCAGTAAGCTCATGCCTGAAGCTGGAATTTCTTTGTCAGGAAAGGCTGCATCCCAGTATTGAAGATAAGGGAAGAGTTGTCAAAGTAGCTGTCCATGCAAGGGATGAAAATAAAAAGGCCAGGAAATTCATGTTGGATTCTGTGCTGCCTATTCTGTTGTTATATAGGATGTCAAAAGAAAGGAGACGTATCATGAGAGGGCAGGGAGGTTAAACTAATTTCCTTCCACTTTAACACAAAAAGATTGATCATAAAATTCCATTACTCCTTCTGACAAACAAAGAAAATTGAGCCATTTGTTTAAATGTTTTGTTGTCGTCAATGGTATTCAATACCGTATTGCATTAAATTGATCAGTTTTGTACGGAGAGCTAGTTATCCTTTGCTGAGGCATGTAAGCTAATGGCAAGCTCCTGGAAAAGGTTGATCTTAAAGCATTCTGGCTAAGTTCTTACAATGCTTCTCGGATGCAAAATCCTGATGTATATAAACACCAGACTGCAACATTAGGCATTTTCATCAGTGCAGTACAAACTGTTTATCCAAATGAGTATTAAATATGATTGGGGTGTTCACCCTGGTGAGAGCATCATTGCAAAAGCCCCTTAATGAAAAGTGGAATTGATTACATGGGACAGGAGCATTGGCATCATTTGCAAGTAGGCAGTAATGAAGAAATATATGAAATCTATGTACAGGCAGTGAACCCTCCAGATAATGAGACTGTCCCTCTTACATTTGGATGCATTGAATGATTCAAGCCTTAAAATATCAAGTGCATTTGCTGATAGCCAGAATTATGATATCTCATCCTGCCACTAATTATGGGGAAATATTATTAATATTTTTTTCATGTCAGAAGCAACTTGAGAAACTATAAGTTGCTTCTGGTGTGAGAGAATTGGCAGTCTGCAAGGATGTTGCCCAGAGGACACATAAATGCTTCACCATCCTGTGGGAGGCTTCTCTCATGTCCCCGCATGGGATGCTGGAGCTGACAGATGGGAGCTCACCCTGCTCCCTGAATTCAAACCACCAACATTTTGGTTAGTAGTCATGCTGGCAACCCATTGTACCACTGGGAACTCATAATAATAATAATAATAATAATAATAATACCATAGTACCATAAAATGAAGAATTTTCTCAGTCATATTATATGTCTTTTGAGTGTTAGATCTTCCGTGGGTATCACACATGTTTCAATTGTTTTGCAACAACGTTCTTTGCTTGGTTTGGGGAGAGGTGGTGATCAGAAATTAGGAACAGCTGTTGTGCCCTTCGTTCCCCTTTCCAAACACATAAGCACAACGAAGAGTTTCTTCAAAAGATGGCATCTGTTGCCTTCTCTCTGTGCTGGCATCTGAGCATGAGCCTTGCCAAGAGCTGCCCTCCTGCTTCTGCTCTTGAATTACTCCGGGTATCCCAGAGATTCTTGGCTGGAGAAAGGGTTTGATGGCAACCCCTTGATTCATTCCTCCAGGAAAGAGCTGTTGTTTGTAAAATGTGAGAAGCGAGATTGGGGACATCAGAGCTCGGAAGAGGATGAATTGTGTGGTGGCTCTTGGTGGTGGTCTGGCTCACACTAGGATCCAGTCTAAGACCTCAAATTGGCATCAACCTGGAGGCACTTCTCCCTCTCCCCCTCTGTCTGCATGGTTTAGCAGAATAAAAAGTACTTT